ATGTTAAACTGACACCATTAATATGTTCACATTACTGGGGCCGTAGGGTAGCCTAGTGGTTAAAGCGTTCGCTCGTCACGCAGAAAGCCCGGGTTCGATTTCCCAAATAGGTACAATATGTGAAGCCCATTTCTGGTGTCCCCCGCTGTGATATTGCTGGATTATTGCTAAAAGCAGCATAAAACCAAACTCACTCTCATTACTGAACTTTCTCCAGTGGCCCCCGGGGTCAAGGTGTGTCTGAAGCTGGAGTAGTACAAGTGTGTCATGACAACTGATCCCGAGATACTGGTTCTCCAGTGGTGTGGAAAGCAACCCAACACCACAGGGGATGTACCAGAGAACAGCTCCTCTTACAGTACACAGAAACAAAACCCTCCATCTTTGTTGTCCTTGATGTCTTTTTCTATAGCAGATTCATGTAAAGGGATCAGGCCGACCAACAAGGGTAGGCCTGTGAATAAACCAGTACTATATAAGTATCTTGTACATCTACCATAGGACTTAGACAGGGAAAGGGCTTCTTTTTTTATAACAGTATCACTTCCATCTGGTCTGTGTTAGATTTGCATTCCAACAATACAGCATCTAAAACCAAACACATCAGCTACAAGCTATTACTTTTATTACAATAGTTAAAACATTGTGAATAAATCAAAATAATACGTGCATACTTGAAATTTGGCATAAACATAACAGTGAAAGTGACAGTGAATGAATAATGACATGGAACACTACATCTTCTTTTCTGACATTTTTTCTGACCGTAAGACTTCTGAAGAATTTGTTTCATTACTTTAGCTAAATATAAGCAATTTAGGGTAAACAGTGAACCACATGGGGCCACTGAGAAATAATATTCTGGAATCCATACCATGACGGATATGATCGAGGAGCTATCATACATGTTAGATCAAGACTGAGAAGGTTTGGTATCTTGTTTCCTGATAATGGTTGAGGCTAATGTGTTGAAGACCACCCCTGTTTCCAAGAAACGCTGAGCTTACTGAGTAAAGGAACAAATCGCTGATATAAACCACCCTTGACACATGTAATCAGTATTTCCCAAATATTCCTCATAATCTGTAACCCTAAAATTGTCAATGAACACTTAACATTCCTCTGTTGTTACAACACTGTATTATAAGGAAAAACTTGATAATGCATCAGTATATGCTTTTCTTTAAAGAAGTCAATTTCGAACGTTTTTTTCAAAGTTCAAAATGACATTCAATTTTTTTTTTAATTTGTTACTTCTTACTTTTCTTTGTAAAAACAAGAAGGTTCAAGAAAACCAAGATTACAAAGGAACTACTAGTCTGTCTCACAGTCCCTGAACCATATTATTTTCCCTATAGCCAAGCCTTCCCTGCAATGGTAAGCCTTTAATGAAGCAAGTCTAGATTTCCCCAAGGTTCTCTGTTCTCCCTGGGGCTCCTTTTCAATTTAAACAGGTTTATTTGTTACAATCAAACTTATATATATTAAGAGACTAAGCGTCAGTCTAAGGAACCAACTCGCTTCATACATTTCCACACTACATTATCAAGACTGGCAGTACTTGACAAACCAACTCAATATTTGCCTAGTCAAACGCTGTTAACAGTACATATAAATCAGCAATAGGTAGCAAGTTATCAGTCAGGCCTGGGTTAACAAACGCTGTGAAACATTCACCTACTTGTAGTGTTTTATCACAATTAGTTCACTCACACACACTATCACAGAAGGCGAACCTCGGTTACCTGGCATGTCACACGTACACAATTAATCAAGAAATCAAACTGTTTCTTATCACCATTCGCTGGCATGGACGTAAACTGACATTCCTACATCTTAATAGCTGAAAACTGACTATTTGCAAATAAAATAGTTTAGTTATTGAAATTTTGAGGAAACTTGATCACTGAACCAGGAACAATCACCCAAACAGTGAAATGAATAATTTATTATCTTTTCAATTTTTCGACTGAAAACTCTCAATTGTCATAAAACTGTTTAGTTATTGAAGTTTTGATCCACCCAAACAGTGAAATGAATAATTTATCATCTTTTCGATTTTTCGATTTTGTTTAGTAAAGCTGAGTTTGCAAAACAGATCAATACAATGTATCCTTTGGGTAAATTAATTTTTTGTTGACAAACAGTGGCTTACATAATTAATACATCCAGTATATACAAACAAAAGGTATACTTCAGACTTGAATATTTTCAGCCATAAGACTTCTATGACTAAACGACCCCCTCTAAGTTGTCTATATATGTTTATCACAAAGGAAATGACAAAAGCACCTTTGACTATCATGCTATATTTCCAGTACTGTCAAACATTATAACATCAAAGCTTGATTCAATGTAACACGACTGTCTTCATCAGATATGTGTAAATCAAGTACTGTTATATACAGCTGTGTACATCAGCACTGAGGGTCATAGAGAGTTTAGCCTGTGTTGTGAAGATACATAGAAGCCACTGTAGACTAACAGTTAGTCTCGGAAATATATATGATTTTGATAGAAATACATAATTCCTTTTAAATTGAAAAGTAGCCTCAGTGAGATGTGAGATTCAGAACCTGAGAGACTTGCTTCATTTAGAGCCTTAGCATTGCAGGGAGGGCTTTGGCGGTAGGGAAAATAATGGTTAAGGGATTGTGAGACAGACTGACTGACTGAGTTTTGGTTTTACGCCGCTTTTAGCAATATTCCAGCAACATCACGGCGGGGGACACCAGAAATGGGCTTCACACATTGTACCCATGTGGGGATTCGAACCCGGGTCTTTGGCGTGACGAGCCAACGCTTTTACCATTAGGCTACCCCACCGCCCCCTGTGAGACAGACTGGGGATTGAGTTTGTCCTGTGTTCTGAAGACACACAGAAGCCACTGTAGACTAACGCTTAGTCTCTGAATATATGATTTTGATTGTAACAATTAAGCCCATTTAAAAAGAGAAGGAGCCCCAGTGAGATGGGAAATTCAATCTGAGGGAATCTGGACTAGCTTCAGTTTGATCTTTAGCATTGCAGGGAGGGCAAGGCAGTAGGGAAAATAAAGTGGTTCAGGGACTGTGAGACAGACTAAAGCCACTGAGACACTTGCTGAATTACAGTCACAAGAATAAATATTTCAGTCACCACTGGCAACTGTCACTAAACCTGAATTACTGAGACTTAATTGGGTCAAATTGTACCACAAATCTGCTATCTATTTCCCAACCCAACAAAGCCATCACAAATGAGTATTTGGACTAATGCTTAGTCTCTGAATTTATATAATTTTGATAGAAACAAACAATTCCTTTTAAACTGAAAAGGAGCCCCAGTAAAAAATTGGAGATTCAGAACCTGCGGAATTCTAGACTTGCTTCATTTAGAACTTTAGCATTGCAGAAAGGGATGGGCAGAAAGAATATAATGCGGTTCAGGGACTGTGAGTGAATGAGTGAGTGAGTGAGTTAAAATTTAACGTCACCTCGGCAATATTTCAGCCATATAGTGACGAGACATGTTTTACATAAACAATATCGGGGACTGTGAGACAAACTATGAGTATTTAAGTTCAAGAACTCGGAATGACCAGAGTTTCCAGACATTACAAAATATGTCATAACAGTTAAATAACCCTTGCTAAAGCCTTAACTCTTAATCCTATCACGAACAAACCTGGTCCCCCAAGAGATTTCCCAACCATACAAAGCATATTAGACTTATGTAATGGAGGCGTAGGTTGTTACTCAACCCAAATTGCACTTACGATGTTTACAGGGTGAACAGTGTGTAAAGAGAACGCGTAATCAGGCGTTTATACCCTCTCAGAAACTGCTGCCATAGCCTACAATTACATACTAATTCACTTGTATACAATCTGTTTCACAAGCTTCTCACCATTCACTGCAGTCCCACACAGGGTAATTACAATCTGAACCTACATGTTTGTGTGTGAAAGGCAGTGAAAGTCAGATAGTATCTCGGCAGTGTTGAGACTAAAAATAACAGTCCAATCTCTGCAAGTATTTTATTACACCATCTTCAACCCTGAACCTATGGTTTTCATTTTAAACATTTTAATGGATACCATGCTGTCATTAAATTCTCAACATAACTTTCTCCAAGTTTTAGAACTAGTTACAGAGCTGGAAGTTAATAAAGGAAAAACGCTCCTTGTCAGGACCATTACAAATTTTAAAAGTAAAAACTACAGAGGCCATTACTCCACAGAACGCTACAAAGACCCTAGCACAACCTTTGACACTGTTAACAGCTCAAACATATTTCCTTTCAGTAATAAATCCCACAAATCACTTTGTCCAATAAGAAAGAATATCTGGGTCAAACAGACAGGAAATGTGACCAAAATACTAATACAAAGTATCATGTTAAACCCTACTCCACAAAGACGTAGACATACTACTGTAGAATTATAATACTACAAGATCAAATGTCCTTACAACTGAATGCTGCCCAAAACTATTTCAACCCTATCATACAACAAGAAGGCCTATGTTATAAGATTTCATAGCATGAATCCATGGATCTATATTTGAAGGAGTTACAAAAAGACTCCCATTAAACGACTGTAAGTATTGTAACGGTGCTGCCGTTAAGGACATTAATGGTCGACTATGTCAGTACAACACTGTGTCCGGCTGAAGCACAACTACAATCAGTGAAAACTGGGACAGAATCTGTCATAGCAACGTAAATGCCAAAGTTGTTATTCATGGAAGTCATCAACATTAATTGTTGTGTAACGCATTGCGTTCAAATACAACACGCTACGAGAACCTCTTTGGTTATAATAGGGCAATGTGCGAACTTAACAGAGTATGGATATTTACTGTATAATTTGCAATTAAATATTCAAAACAAATAATATGGTAATATTATACAGAGAAAATCTTTGCAGGTTTTACTGCAAACCTGCATTTTAACAACATGTACTGATCCTGAGATTAGAAAGATATGAACATCTGCACGAACTTATCAAAATACTTACGTCGTTCGAATGTAAACACAGGTATTTTGGTGGATCGTGAGGCCCCATAGTCTTCATATAAATCCTTATAATCCTCAAATGGAGATTTATAATTCATCAACGGGGAAGACCATAAGTCCTCCTCAATCTCAAAGCTGTCATCCATTTTTGCCATATTTTTCTATCCCTTTGTATCATGGCACATAGACATTATCATAGAACAGGACCTTACGATCCAAACTTTGTATAAATTCACTATAAGCAGTAGCATTGTGCATCCAATGATTGTTTTATCCAGCACAACTTTGATCCTTTTTTCGTTCTGGGTGCTGTCCAAAGTACCAGGAATTTTCGCATGTGTGAACTGACCTGTCGTTTTCTATCATCCTCTGCCCATTGAGAAACTAAATCTACGAAAGGATCGTAATGAATACAGGTGTATGGAACATGTCCTCTGGTGTAAATTCTCCTCAGCAAACTGGAATCACAAAACTGATTTCAATTTGTGATGATAAAATATAATGCTTGTTGTAGTCATCCTCGGAATTCAAATAAAACTGTCCTCACATTGTAATCCAAGCCTGGGTCACATAACTATCTACATGTGTACATGTGATATATACAATTATGACACATCAACTTGCTTTTCTTTGAGCCCATGTGCTAAGCAGCTTGAATAAATTCCAATTTCACAATGCTTCGGAGATCATAGGTATGCTGTCCTACCCGGAGTATTCAGGCTGAACGTGTGGAAAATTGTCTCCAGCGACTCATAGCTATGAAACACTTGACAGCAGAACATCAGAGGAGTTACGGCTCTTGGCCTCGCACCTGCTTCATTGCATTCATTTCTACACTGGTAACAGCCATCTACCTGGCTATGTCAAATATACAGTACAGTTAAAGGGTAGACTGACCGGTTGACCAGTCAAAAACAACTTGTCTGATTACTTGATTTATTTATGAATAGCACAGCTAGCGATATGTTCCACCAGCCTTTGACACTGGGTGAGTCCATTATCTTCAGTAGGGGTGACAGGTGATAAATCCGGCAGATAGTAAGCAAGGGTCAGTTCATTAATGAATTGTCACGTAGTATGCATAATTCCTTGTACATGTAGATCCATCAGCCTTCCAACCAGACCCCACAGGTACACAGTTTATGGGATTGTTACAATAACTCAGCCGTGGCTAGCCCTGCAGGAACAAACTCATTTCAGACTGTAATCAACACCTGCTATTGTTATAGTAGGTAGTTGATACCAGCTCTCTAGGGGTGCTGTACGTCCCCTCCTGGTCTTGTGAAACACCGATACTATATCTGTGAACACCTATATCATACCTGGCAGGTAAACTAACGAGCACTGGAAATCACCACACTTATAATTCTAGACGTCAGTAAGACTGTAATAATCAACAGTGGAGTACCCTACTTGTGGTGGTTAACAACATCACCGGACTGTATGTGATTACGGTCCACCTTTGTTGCCATAATCCTAATGGCCATAGACCGTGACCTGTTAAATACTAGCCCTGATTGCACGCTTACTCAACTAAACATTCCTCTATCAATGCCAAAACCATTTTTCCGTTGTTGAAATGCCTCATTATTTGTTTAGGCTAAAGGAGTACATATGTTACTCATATTACTAAACTCAGGTAAACAACTGAGATAACACTAGGTTCTACAGTTATCCCTCCATTTAAAATGCAACCCAACAGGATTTTCAAATGGTAACAATTTAAACCTATAATACACTGGCAGTTTGTTTTAGTAACAAAACTTGAAAACAATGAATGAAAATGTGAATAAGATTTTTCAGAACTTAATCCAGTAACTTTACAATACCTTGTACAGAAATCAAGTACTAAACCTCGTGGTCACTGTAACACACTGTTCTTACTGAAGAATATTCCATGTACTGCTTAGTCCATCCAAAGAGTGAGTGAGTGAGTTTAGTTTTACGCCGCACTCAGCAATATCCCAGCTATATGGTCCATCCAAAGACATTGATCAAAACATAACCCAAGCACAAAACAACAACTCCCAAACAGAACCTCTTTTTCCAGTCAGACACATCCAAAAAGAAATTCTTTACCGAAAATAACTGCAAATGTGTCCAACTACATTCCACAGAATCCTCCAGAGTGAGCACTTGTTCCAATATAGTCGGACAGTTGATATATATCTGTCCCAGTGCGTAGTTATTCCTGTTGATGAAGCAGAAGTGGAAGGCGTACAACCCTACCACCAAAACCACTTGCTAGAATGATCTTTCGAGGTCAAACTAAACCACATATTCCAAACGACTCTTCTCCATTCAGACAACCTCATCCATTGTTTCTGGAAATATATTACCTCTCTGTGTCTCTGAGAAAACAATTTGGCAGAAAGTCAACAATTTATGCACTCAGTCTACAAGACCACCAATTCTTGTTGGTTATGATATGGCCATGAACTCAGGAATAATCAACTTTCATCTCCATTTAACATCTGTTGCATATCATCACATATCGGCCTCTCTTGTTACTATTTTGCAAGTCAACCTAGACTCCGACTACTTCTGTTTCACAAGTCTCACATGGAACTTCATATGACAAAAAGGTTTCACATTCAGCATCTGAGCCAACAAGCAAAAACACTTCTTTCAACACGAGGGCTTGAAAATCTGTATTTACAATCAAACATTCCACAACGAGGACACTTGCACATGCAGAGTGTTCCTTTGCTGCCAATTTGTCCAATCAAAGCATACACCTTCCAGGGGTTCTGGTCCAAAGCCGAGGTATGGAAGTCTTCCTTTGTGTCTTCTGTCAGACATGACAGTGTTAATTCATCCCAAGTGTAGCATCACCGTCCTCATCTGCTGGAACTTGTAGGAGGCAAACTCAAGACAAGAGGGGTACACCACCACTTACTTATCTCCAGAATGTGTGCCAGCCAACCACCAAAATTCACACACTTAGCTTTATATATATCGTTTCAAAGTTTACGATTTTGTTCAGCTGGTTTATCCCAAGAATGTATGCAGGTATGACCACCAAAACTAAAAAAATGAGAGGAGCGGTTTGGCTTTTTTGTTTAAAAATTGTAATTTCAAGTCAGGCTCATAATACTGTTCAGCTTGCAACTAAGAAGCTAGTGTCCTTCAGTTCCAATCTAACCTGACCAACTCTGAGCAGTAGACAGGTACAGGCTCTCTAGAAACTTCAACAAAATTCACTAAACCCTGGACAAAAGTGAAGTAACATTTCTATCCAGGTCTCTTCCAAGGTTTTATCAACAGAGCACCAAGATGAAACCAGCTCGAGTGAGAACCTGTGTCCCAGTATCAGAGTGTATCTCTTGGTTTATCATTAATATCATTCCACATCATCTGTGTATCGGGTTGCACCGAGGGTAAAGTCAGTGGTTGGGCACCATTGAGCATACACATAAACTGTGGAGATTCTGATAAAGGTGGTAGTAGAAGTTGTGACACATTCACAAGATTAACCAGGACCTGGTGATGCCAGATTTATTACATCTGGATTCACAATCCTCATTAATTTCAACCTTATTTCCTTGAAGTTATAATGTTCTTTTCACAGGTTGTTACAGTAGCTGATTAATGATCCTAGTATGAGAAGCTTCCTCAACAGCATTGAGTTTCAATTCTGGGCTTCCTTGATACATTTATGAATGACAGTTTTCCAGTCTACAACAATTTATAAAACACTGACTTTCCTGAACGAAACAACAGCAACTCCTTCTGTGCACAGAATATTCCAGAGATGGGAGCAATTTGTTCACGATGACCTACCAAGAAATACTCTCTTAGGACTGGATGATATATCAGCTATGATCAATAATTCTTTTTCAGGTATCAGACATTGGCCATGCTGAAACGTCTGAGGTCGTCTCCAGTCAGCATAATATAGTAAGTCACAGTTTCATTCAGTATCCTAAATCCATTCCATACATATTCTTCTAAGCTCACACTATCTCCACGAATCTCCAAGACTGTCAGAATCCATCAGAATGTTCTCAAGTTCATGTGTTTGTAATCTGATGTTGATAAAACAAGTGCCCAATCCCTGTATCAGGAAGCAGATTCCAGTGCATGTCAGACCTTCTCAAAGGTCACAGTCTGGAGATATGCCGCTTATTATTGTGGAAATAATGGCAGAACAAACCACAGGCATTACAGCCAGTGTGCTGCAGCATGTGGCAAGGCTATGACATCAGTATTAGTGCACGGCTCTTGACCCCACCAGATGAGGATGCAGCTCAATCAAAAGAGGAAGTAGACATACAATTTCATTTATCCTGTCACAGGACTACCACTTGAAAAACCATCTATCCGTCCCAGTATTTGTCATAAATAACCATGCTTGTCATAAGAGGCAACTAACAGGGATCGGATGGGCTGGCTCGCTGACTTGGTTGATACATGTCATCTCAGTTCCCAATTGCACAGATCAATGCTCATGCTGTTGATCACTGGATTGTCTGGTCCAGACTCGATTATTTACAGACCGCCGCCATATAGCGGGAATATTGCTGAGTGTGGCGTAAAACTAAACTCACTCACTCATAAATAATCTTTCTCAACGGGTCAGGATAGGATGTTTTACTTGTATGATGTTGACAAATAATGAAATGAAGGTAGCCAAAACATTAATCATGAAACACCTGCACTGGAGGTTTTCCTGACTCGAGAGCAAATAACACAAATGTAAACATTTCACCCATGAACTCAGTGGTGACAATGTCTGCCTGCCTGTCTGCTAATGACAATATTCAATACACAACTTCGATCACTGAACACATGCAATTTGAACTTAACACCTATCAGGCTATACACCATAAACAAAACGCATTGATTTATGGCCGAGTTCAGTCTCTGTCACATTATGTAATTACACAGACAGGCAGGTGTGATACTTGTACACATGACATGTTATGATGTCTGTTGATTGCAAAATGTTATACACAAAAAATGAGCATGTATTTACAAAACCCAACATCTCTATATATACACACACAATGAGCCGTGAGGGCATCTGCAAATGAACCAGCCGTTACACTTGAGTGCACACCCACCCGCTCTGACTGGGTTCGGTGTTCCGGCTGCTTCGTTTCTTGGAAAGTAAACCCAAGTACAAAATATTGCACTTTTGATTTGCGATTGTACGCATATAATTTTGTTTATATGTTTTTTTCATTACCAGCAATGTATATTATATGTCATGAATAAGTGATAATTGTGTTTTAATTATGTTTGATTTTTTGGTTGCATGTGACCTTTAAACATAGTAATTAAGAAAATTGCACATCAGATTATTTAAAAAAATAAATTACATAAGTATCCATCTATCTAGTTATTATCTAGCATATTCCATCTGTAAGCTGAGTGGCTAATTATTTGTTCCGAAATGAAACACAACGCTTGAAAACAGGTCACGCATTCTAGTCCCAGCCCATGTACAGCAGTTATCCTGAATTCATAACAACACATCAAAATACAATCTGTTTGTGTGTGTATCACATTTATATTCATACAACGTAGATGACATTGTTTCCAGAGGTTGTTCCGACTGTATCCAAGGAGACCTCATTAGCGTGAACCTGTATCTCAACATACATCACATTCCCTCTTATGTCGGAGTAATACCATTATATGCCTGTTTTCTAATTTGGAATCTAAGGTTATCTTGATGTTGAAGGAAACCAAGCCTTTAGAATCAATGAAGTTTCACTAAATCAAATGGAGCTGTATGTTACATCACAGACCTTGTACCTAAAGGGGCAGTGGGTTAGCCCTGTGGTTAAAGTATTTGCTGGTCACACCAAAGATCAGGGTTCGATTTCCCACATGGGTACAAATTGTGAAGCCCATTTCTGATGTTCCCTGTTACAATTTTGCTATTTGTGGACCAAGATATGCTCCCTTATGTAACCATAAAAGCTTTTAAAACTTTGTATTTGGTCACAATGTATTATTCTGGGGAATCTGCTAAGTTCATGGAGTTTCTGTTGTTCTTGAAAGCTCGCAAACATTCATCGAAATTCTAGTACTTCCAATACAACAGCTAACTACTCCAAAAAAAAAAACAAGTTTACAATACGCATTTCACTGACACCTTAAGAAAACAGCAAGGTGACCATGAGCCGTTGGATCAACTCAACCCAAATAGTGTTCCTGCTCCAACACAAGCTTGTTGAAAAGGTCTACGATCGTTTTTCGTGTTACCAGTCTCAAACAAGCCTCCATCACACTCGGTTCCACAGGCAACACCTTGATTTAATGATATGACAACAGAACAGTATTGACAGTACTACACTCAGGTCACCGGTCACAGTAACATGACCCACGGTCAGTATCTGATGACCAATAAAAATATTCACAATCAGGTCTGGGCTACTATTAAGGACAGTGGGATACTGAGGTGGGCTGATTCATCGAAGATAAGAGCAGTTAGGATCTGTGTGTTAATCTCCGGGTCATCTTAACACTTGGTCGACCTGAGTCTTTCAATCAATGGATCAGCCACAATTGACCAATTCATGGTCAGTTGGTCACTCGGGTCAAGATGTGACTTGCAAATGTACATCAATAAGTCCCCTCCACACTTTATGGCAGTGGACTGGTCACATCAAGTCATAACATACACATGTACTTGAGTCAAACCTCTGTTGTCCCTTATTCTGGCGTGACTTCACATCAGAGGTGTTCCCGCCATGATGTTGTGGGAATATTGGTAAAAGCAGTGTAAAACCAAACTCACTCACTGACATCAGAGGCCCTACTTAACAACTGTATGGATATCGACCGACATACCCTGGAAAGTGAAGGTATATCTCTCACTTATTCTAACCATTTGAAATAACAATAGAAGTAAAACAAGTCCATAAAAATATCTTCACACATAGCCAAATCCCCTATTAAAAGCTGGTTGTTTATTGGCATGTTGAGTTCATCTTAAAAACCATTTATTATCAAAGTGTAACATCTTCTGTAATAGAAAATATAAACAAGTATTGAGTCATCAGAAGCCGTCATAAAACCAGCTTTTGCCTCACACAACAAATATTTCTGATAATAAGTAAGCACAGGAGGTAAAATTCCCCTCATACTTTAAACAAGTCTGTTATACAAACCTTGAAACAAACATACCCAATTGCCTTTCCAAGTCTATGATAATCAGCAAGTCTAGATTACAGCAGTTTCGAATAAAGTCTCTGAGATCCTTTTTATCATATTATATTCGGTTAATTAGACATTTTTTTCAGTATTTTTTTTTCATTTCAGATGTTTGTCTAACTTGTAAACATACTCAAAGAGACAGCATTCCTGTTTTATGAGTCCAACAGCACAGAAGATATCAGTTTTCAAAATTAAGCATGAAAGTCAAGAACTTCTTGCAATAACCCTATTTCTTCAAGTTAAAGATTTTAAGGATCTCAAGATTCAAATTACCCAGAAGCCAAGAACCTGAGGAAGAACCAGAAGAATTCATGTCAATTTTGAATTTCCAACAAGCCAAATCTACAGGGGCAGACACAAACTTCAGTAAGACCCGAACCCGACCTTGACATTCTACAATTATTAAGTTATTTCAACATGAATTCATGATGATTGATAATCAAGACGGCCCATCGTCTGGACAAAGGACTCCCTGCAGCTAGTCCTCACCTCACAAATCCTATCTTTGTAAAGCATATGCTAACATAATATTTCATCGCATTCTTTCCAGTCCAGTGAACAGACTGTCAAAGGCTGTACTTCTTCTCAAAGCTGGAACTTGTAGTTAAGATAATGTACTATGCAAACTGGTGACAGCTCTGAACACCTCATTGGAACAGCTTCAAACATTAGCAGTATGAAATAAGCTAATCTTACTCAAGCAGACGTCATTTTTACCCACTTAACGACTGAACTAACGTGTTTTGGCAGACTGATGCTTAAAATTTTGACATGAAATTTACATAAGTATGTCCAATATCAAAATAGAACTGGGATGACTTGCTGGCCTTGGTGTACCGAGAGAACTCACCCTGATCCCAATCTACCCATAGTAAGAAAGCCCAACAAAAGTTAACCACTGGTGGTATGGTCACAGGGCTAGGCTTTGATGGGGGGATAAGTATGTACAATTTCCCTGAATGAAAGATAAGGGGCTCTACGTCTCTCCACAATGTCTGCCATTTCAGGTC